AGGACCGGGCTACACTACCAACGATTGCCTAAAGTGGAAACAGTACCTTGAGAAGCTGACAAATGAGGGCCGATACGACGAGTATCTTGACAGGTCAACAAAATGGCCTACACAAGCAAAGGAAGTCTCCATCACCTTCTGAACCTCATTTGGTTTCTTTTTCCAAATAAGTTCGAAGTCTCAAGTAGTTCGACGAACAAGGCTTCACAAACTGAAAATTATCCAGTTTGTTATGTAGTTTCTACCTTCCGACACAATTGATTTATTTCTTTATTCTCAATAAAGATTTAAGAAGTTATTCATAAGCTTGGTTGATTTATTTCTTTATTCTCAATGAAGATTCAAGAAGTTATTCATAAGCTTGGCTCAACTGTTGTCCATAATAACTACTAAAAACTCTTTTTGGGTATGCTCTCTAGTGCGAGAGGATAAACTAATTGTTATCCAGTGCGAAAGGGTAAACCAATTCCCCGACACCCATATGGGTCTACTCTCCAGTGCGAGAAAATAAACTAATTGCTCTTCAGTGCGAGAGGGTAAACTAATTCCCCGACACCCATCTAGGTAAGCTTTCCAGTTCGAGAATGCCACATAGCTTAAAAGATCGAATGCTTAAAGATCAACTAGGCAGCAAATGGTAAGAGGGCAGCAGCCACTTTTGCACTTAACAGTTCACTCATCCGACACTTCATCTTCAGCAGCTCCGATATGGGCAGCTTTATCCTTGATTGCTCTATCTACAGCAGCTGAGAAATCAAGGTCAAGCAGTTTCCTCATTTTTGGCAAACAGCCCAGACATGGCAGCCCAAACCATTGCCCATGCCACGCCACTTCCTCGGCCCATGCTGAGCCAATCATTGGCTTCAATCAAGTCAAGCAGCATAAGTAATGGCCCTTGCCACACCACCTCCTTGGCCCATGACAAGCCGACTCTTGGCCCATGCCGCACCACCCCGATGGCTGCCCCGTGGCAGCACCTCCCAAGAAGAAGACAAGGAGAATTAAGTATTCCTTACATCTGTGTGGCGTGGATAAGACGAAGAAAGTAACGAAAGACGATCTTTTGCACAGGCAAGTGTAGAAGATTGCTAGGGGAGGGGGAACAAATATCCTCTAAGCTTTCTCTCTCTTGTAGGGTAGAATAAATCTCTCTCCAAAGTTGATTTAACAACCCACTTAAGGTGGACTTAAATAGGCTTTGAGAGAAATTTATTTCCCTTTCCTAGAAGGATCTATTTTCATATTAAAGAGGGAATCTACATCAAAATAGGAAACAATCCTAAGTTTCCTAGAGCAAGAAGATCTCTACACCTGCTGCCATTTCCTACGAGCAGCCTAGTAGGTATGAGGGCATTTGTGGAGCCAAAAATAATCAAAAAGCGACACATGGATTTTTAGGTGAAGAGGACAAAATTACTCTCAAGACACACCAGGTTTCCTACACGCCAGCAATGGAGAATCATCCATCAACCGAGTCAAGAGTGCCCAAAATAGGTAACAAGTTCAAATTTATCTCACAAGGAAATCATTCCATAACCTTCAAAACCTTCCCTATAAATCAAATTAATTAGGCTAATTAATGGATTAATTCCTAATTAATCCATTAATCACCAAATTAATCACCATTACACCCCAAAAAACATCCAAGGGTCGGCCACTCTCTCTTCCAAAGAGGGCCATACTTTATAAATAAGACTCCATTTTCTTTGAAATGAGAGGTTCACACTCTTGGAAAACTCCAAAAACTCTCCAAACATTTTTTCTCTGTAAATTCTAACTTTGGCATTGGAGGTTCTTTGGCTAAAGCCCCTATTCATCGTGGGCGTGTGAGGTTGTGACATCCCACATCGCCCAGGGGTGATCCTTAAATGTATATTCCCATCTCTACCTAGCACGAGGCCTTTTGAGAGCTCACTGGCTTCGGGTTCCATGGGAACTCCGAAGTTAAGCGAGTAGCGCACGAGAGCACTCCCAGGATGGATGACCCATCGGGAAGTTCTCGTGTGAGTTCCCAGAAACAAAACCGTGAGGGTGTGGTCGGGGCCCAAAGCGGACAATATCGTGCTACGGTGGTGGAGCGGGCCCGGGAAGTGGTGCCACCCGGGCCGGGATGTGACATTGGTATCAGAGCCTAACCCTGGTCGCGTGTGTGCCGAGGAGGACGTCGGGCCCCTAAGGGGGGTGAATTGTGACATCCCACATCGCCCAGGGGTGATCCTTAAATGTATATTCCCATCTCTACCTAGCACGAGGCCTTTTGGGAGCTCACTGGCTTCGGGTTCCATGGGAACTCCGAAGTTAAGAGAGTAGCGCACGAGAACACTCCCAGGATGGGTGACCCATCGGGAAGTTCTCGTGTGAGTTCCCAGAAACAAAACCGTGAGGGCGTGGTCGGGGCCCAAAGCGGACAATATCGTGCTACGGTGGTGGAGCGGGCCCGGGAAGTGGTGCCACCCGGGCCGGGATGTGACAGAGGCTCTTAGCCTTGACCTAAGGTGTTAATTGTCTTGTAGGTGCAATTTTATCCAAGATCAAGAAGGCGGAAATATGCATCCACACCAGGCACCCTCGCTAATTACACCTATAATTTACTCATACAATATAGACTTATAAACTTCAGAGTGCAATGTGAAAAAAAAAAATTATAACCTCATGACCCATTTTAGAAACCACCTCAAACCTGAATAGTGTAAAATGCAGTTAGCTTTAAATTATACATATACTAGGATTGTTATAATAGGTAAATTAGATATCCTAGGATTGTTAGTAGGAAGTTATGGGCAATTTGAATGAGTAATTATTGTAATTTATTTATTTATTGTTATTATTATTGCAAGCAATATTACTACTCTAAGAACTAAATATTAGGATGACAATGGTTTCAATGGTTATCAGCATGACAGTGGAAATGATGCAGATCTAGTAAGGTTGTGATGATTGGTTATGTGGTAGTTATTATCACAACGATAGCGATCATATACAGACGCGGTTAATGTCATCCATATCTACCTCTTTTCTTGTCAAACATAAGCTTCATTCATAGAAGAAAATGTTACAATTGATAAATTTAAAGAAATACAGCTAGTAGCCCAAGTGGACAAAGCATCCTAAGCAAAGTACATGATGATCCAAGACTTGATTGTTGATGCAAGTATTTAATGCAACAATCACCACGTATCTTACCAATCCGTCATTCGGTTTAGTGAATACGCGGTCAACACAAACAAAACACTAAGGCCATAAAACAAAACCACATATGTAAATCAGTCCCTAACTTAACAACAAAGATTTACAAATAATACATAAATTTGCCTCTATAAAGCTCAGCAAAATATATAAGTAGACACAACCAACAAACATATCCACTACTCGAAAACCAACAAGGGAAGACTTCTGATGCCAACAAAGCAAGAAGACAGAACACCAATAGAATTGTAAAAGAAGACAACCTGGAGACCCAAACCAACTGCAAATCCTTTTGCATACCTTCATTTGGTGAGTGACGACTCACTCTCAAGGTAGGTAGCAAAAATAGTGGCCAATAAAGGCTTTTCAATCAAAAGCAAGCATTAAGTATGAAATTGGAGGATTTGTGGGTGGAGGAGTGGGAGGGTAGAGGAGAGCTCTCGTTTGATGCATAGTTGAATGAGATCTAAGTAGTTGTTCGGGTTAAGAATTAGAGATAAACCAAGGACTAATTTAAATATGGTACAAATTGAAATTCTCCAAGAGGTGAGCAAGAGATCAAAAGGATTGGGACGAAGCACCCAATCTAAGACTGAGCTCATGCCCATCAGCACTGAAATTCGGGGATTGGGACTCACCACCATCTGTTCCCAATTCAAGAGAAAGATTTGGGTAGGCCACCCTCCATAAAGATGGAGAGAGATAGAAAAAAAAAAACAGGCTTCATTAAACAGCGGTTGTGGATTACCTACAAAAAAAAAGGTGGGAAATATGATGGTAAGGGGAGGAGGAGGTGCATGTAAAAGAAAATGAGTGGGAGAAAGATGAGGTAGAGGAATAGAGGCAATACATGGGGGCTAGGGGAAATGGAGATTGAAGAAAGATGAGGCTAGGAGAAAAGAGGCAGGACACGGGGTAGGGTTGAAGCAGAGTGCGATTAGGGAAAGGGAGAGAGGGAGAAAGAAGAAGTGCATGGGGGGTAAGGGTAGGGAAGGGATGCAGGGCCCAGGGTAGGGGAACAGACGGAGGTGTTGGCGCAATGTGTTGGAGGGGACGAGATCGACAATTGGATTGTTGCTGACCCCAAGCCGGAGCAAGAGGCTAGTGGTTGTGGGTTTACTGATCTAGGGTTTCTGGGAGACTCAACTACTTTTGCATCTTGCAAGCTTTATCAAATCAACACGATCATGACTTTCTGTCATCTATACCTACTAAGTATTTGTTGATATGTCACCAATATATGGTAGACTATTAATTGGCATCCATATTTAGTACCAACATGTCAATATAATGTTGTTAATACGGTATTGATATTCACTTGTTATGTCATCGTCCACGTAGTTGATGTCACTCTTCGTATTGGTTTGGAACTGAGGTGCTTTTATAAAAAGTGGGTATAAAAAAAAAAGCTGAGCTTAAAAATGTGTTTGGTAAATACTTAAAAACAGTTTTTTTCACAGTTTTTGGTGAAAAAAAGCTGAAAACGTGAAATAACAAAAATGAGCTTATTCTCATAGCACAGCAAAAACAGTTTTTTTTTTAAAGCACAACAATACCAAACCAGCTATTTGTATTATAATGTGACCCGCTCATACCGTACACGAGTCAACTAGTCTGATTTGTAATCGTCTGATTTCAGTCTTGGTACCCAGACTACGTTTCGTCCGTGTCCTTGGGTCCTAAAATGCTTAAAGTCCAAAAGAAATTGGGTTGGGTCCTTAGGAAACTTAAAAACAAGTCGGATTCGGGCAATGCCCGGCCCATCCAGCATGCAACTACCGAGGGAGATTACAAATTATAGCAGTTCCTGTCGACGACTTTCGATTGGTTCAGCAGGAGACACCAATCACTGAGCGAGGTAGAGAGAGAGAGAGATCAGAGATCCCAAATCCACGCTTCGCAATGTCTTCAACATTCAGTGGCGATGAAACGGCGCCGTTCTTCGGCTTCCTCGGCGCTGCTGCTGCCCTCGTTTTCTCATGTAACCAAATTCTTAACTCCAATCTCGCTTTTTCTCTGCGTTTTTCTTTTTGCAATGTGTTTGGTTCCCGAGAAAGTTTAGATCTACTTTGATTTTGATCATCTGTTCCATTCGTTTGTCAAAGGAAATTGATTTCTCTAATAACAAGCAATTAGGTGAAGTTACAGTTTTGATTAACTTGGGTTTTGATGGTTAATTTTTGGTTAATTATCATTTGGGACCCTGAAAGTACAAAAATTTTGCTTGAAAGGAGCTAAATTTGACTATTATTATTCACTTTATGGTCTGATGATATGTTGTGTGGAGTTTGTCAACATGGATCTCAAACCCCATTACTCAAAAGAGACTGATTGATATGTTTGGCTTGGTTTATACTACATACTTGCATTTATTACCCAAAATTTTAGAACCCCAATTGGAGGTTTAGTGTACTTGATATGACGGCGACCTCGTTGGGGATTTGTATTTTAGGTATGGGAGCTGCCTATGGCACCGCAAAGAGTGGTGTTGGTGTGGCATCTATGGGAGTGATGAGGCCTGAGCTGGTGATGAAATCCATTGTTCCGGTTGTTATGGCTGGAGTTCTGGGTATTTATGGCCTTATTATTGCTGTTATCATCAGTACCGGGATTAACCCTAAGGCCAAGTCATATTACCTGTTTGATGGTTATGCACATCTCTCATCTGGTCTTGCTTGCGGTCTCGCTGGGCTCTCTGCTGGAATGGCAATTGGTATTGTTGGTGACGCTGGTGTAAGGTATAAGTTCTGATCTAAGTGCATATGCGTTTCCATAATTGTTTCTTGCTGTTTTCTGGTTTGTTTTATATGTTTTAATGTCTATGATAAAAATAAATGTCATTGAAGTAGATGCTGTTCAAATCAGTACCCCTTTCTTTTTCTTTTCGAGTATTACTTAATCTATCGAAGGCAGAGAATAATTACAGTAGCCATATTTGTCCTTAAACATGCTTTTTGAGCAGTGAACAGAGTTGAACTAACTTCACAAATAGCAATACTGGTCTTTCTTGTTTTCCTTTCTTTTATTTGTCTCTTACAGAAATTTCCAAGTAGTAGAGTTTGTTGGTGAGCTTGTTGTTACTGACTGTCACAATGAACCGAATTACTTAGCCTCTTGTTTAATTTCAGAATTGATATGCAAAGCAAATTTTTTTTCCAAGACTAGATTTAAAGATAAAGAGATTGGCCTGATAGAGGACTAGTATAGTCATTGTAAATTGGAATATCCAAGGAGGGATATTAAACCCCTGAGTTCATTTTAATATGGGAAGTTGGAGTCCAAGACAAGGATAGTAAGTTAGTAACTTAAAGCCACGACAGACTAGAACTAAAATAAATGATAAATCGTGGTATGGAAATGGATAGTGAAAACATTGTAAACTATGCTAGGGCTAATAATTGATGTCATGTTTACTTACAAGGAATGAGAATGTAAGGTTGGATATCATTCCCATTTCTGGAAAATCCACTGTTTACTAACACAAGGAATGAATAAATAAGTGGGCCCCATTTTGATGATATTGCTCTATTCCCAATTTAACTAGGTATCATTGTCAGGGGATGTTTATCCCATACCTAAAAATTTAAAGGTATAATTACTCCATTAGCCCATATCACTCCTATTCCCAAAAGTATAAGTATCTTAACTGTTCCTGGCAACGTGTAAAGTTATGAAGTCCAAGGCCAGAGTAGTATCTGAACTATAGTAAAACATGTCTCGCAGAATATGATCCAAATGTCGATGTATGTTTGACATGTATAACGAAAATATCATTCTCAAGAACAGCTATTGGAGTGGTTCTAATTTAGGGCTTGGAATTACTTGAGAATTAATATTAAAGTTCTCTTTACAAGTAATGTGGTGTTTTGGTGTAATTGTAATCTGTATGGCCCTGAATATGATTCAAATTCTCATATGTATGCGTCACAAATCACAATACTCAGAAAGTAGCAATAGTGGTTAAATTTGAAGTTTATAACTAGTTTAATTTGGTAGACAAATGGTATAGCGTTTTACTATAATTTGGTGGTGTGGGTCAAAAGGAGTAAAGATGAAATGATGGCCCTTAGCCCTTAAGTTTTCATGGATCTGTGAAGCTACTTTTTGTCACTTGAGAGCAAAAGAACAGAACAACTAAAGTTTTAATTGGTTATTGAAAGATATTTGGTTGTAGTGCTTGATCGATATTCCCTACTTTAAATGCTCTTTTTTATTTGAGATATATTATCCTCTATAGTTTGGCTTGGTATTGTTGTGCTTTGAAAAAAAATTGCTTCTGCTGTGCTGTGAGAATAAGCTCATTTTTGCTGCTTCACGTTTTCATCTTTTTTTCACCCAAAATTGTGAAAATAAGCTGTTTTTTAAGTGTTTACCAAACACCTTTTTGAGCTTAGCCTTTTTTTTTTATACCCACTTTTTATAAAAGCATCTCAGTACCAAACTAGTAAGTAGTCTCAACCTAATTTTAATTAAGTTGTACACCACTGGATTAACTGAGCTTGTTTTGTAGAGCTAATGCACAGCAGCCAAAACTCTTTGTTGGGATGATCCTCATTCTCATCTTTGCTGAAGCACTGGCCCTTTACGGCCTCATTGTTGGCATCATCTTGTCTTCTCGATCAGGCCAATCCAGAGCAGACTAAGAAGTGACCATGCGGTCTAATATTCTTTTATTGCTTATTTATATCACTTCAAAGGGAAAACTTTTGGCTGCTCTCAGGTTAGTAGTTGGACTCTGCTCGCTGGTTCGTAAAGAATATGTTTGTGTAAGTAACGGCCCTGCCTTGTAGTAGTAAGATTGAGGTTTTCATTCAACAGAATAAAAGCTTTTGAAGCTGTTACGGTTTTTTCATCGATTGATGTATTTTTCCGCCAGAACTATATGACCTGGTATAAACTCATAATTCGAAAACTAGTGCATGTATTATCTCATCAATCGTCAAACTCTTGTACATCTTTATCTTGATTGTCAAATCTTTGCTAGATTGGGCCTTTGTTGTGCTATTTTAAGAATTTGTGCCTTGTTATGTTGCAAGTAAAGGACCAATCTTTGCTAGATTGGGGCCTTGGTCATGTACATGGTTGTAGTCGGCAAAACCAATTGGTTGTTATGCTTGAGCAAGTCAAGGAAGTGAGCGATATGTAGAGGTTAGAGCTTTTGGGCTTGAGCCAAAAGTAAAGTGTATTACTTAGGAATCAACCATTCATACAATTCTTTGATAGAAAGAAATCACAAAAAATGGTATGTAGCTGCCGTTTTGAAATGATTTAAAGATCATACGAGACTCGCTTGGGCCGTGACCAACTCACTTCTTTCTCCTTAACGTCTAGTACCATTGCCCCGCCACTTTGCCTGTCTTCTTGTCGTCGGATCTCGCATTTAGATTTTTTCTAATATTGTTTTGTTAGTTGGGGAAGGGAGATTCAAACGTAGAATTGTTTTAAAATTGAAAAGACCTCATTTGACAAAAACTAGTTAGTTTATTTAAGCGAATTTTCATTACATTTTTTTATGTAACACTTCGTTTGGGCATAAGGCACTGTTCTAAAAAAATCTCCGCCTAGCGTCGCGTAGGTGGTTGGTTACTATCTCGATTAATTTTTAGGCATTTGAAGATTCATAAAGGGCGCCTAGACCTGCTTAGGCATCCATTTAGCCCGCCTAGACCCGCTTAGACATCTACTTAGGTCGCGACTCTCAATTGGACAGAAAAATTGATTACCTTCATTTTTGCATTTTATTTTTTTATTAAAAATATAAGAGATTCGTTGAATACTTGAATGAAATTCATTATATGCTTGTTCCCCATGTTTTTAATATGTTCTAATACTTTATCATCTATATGTCATTTTATTTAGTAACTTATATATTCTAATACAATTATGTATTTTTTAAGTATAAAAAGGCACTTATTTATATGGTATATCATAAATTTACTTAAATTTGCCTAACCCTCCTAGGCCCCTACCTAGGTGCTAGGCTCTGCTGCCCACTAACGCTTAGTGTCTTTTAAAACTTTGGCATAAGGTGGGAGCAAATCCATCTCAAAACTCATTGATACACACGTCATGTCTTCAGAGGCTGAATTATTTATTTATTTGTTTATCTTTAGGTATGTTGCAAGAAAGAGATCTTAAGATAAAGTAGTTAAGAGGGGAGGAGGAGACAGAATTTACTTTCCCTCTTTCTCCTTTTTCCTTTAGGATTCACTTGGTGAATTCAAATTTCCTTGTAGTCACCTGGTATGAGCCATGATCAAATTCGAGAGTACATCATCTTTTTTCTGTTCTTTCATCAATTTAATCATTCCCTCAAAAGTCTTTCTCCAAAATTTATTATTTTTCTAAACCTATTGTTAGCTCGCGCCGATTTAAGTAGGAACGTAAAAGAAATAAAATATACATATGAAATGTTATGTGGAAGCTACTGCATGTGAGTTCATAGAATGGTCATGTAAAACACTCATATTTCACAAGTAATTTACATAAATGACGTACATTAAAGTGCTCTGACGTAAAAACACAAATTGCGTCTTTTTAAATATTTTGTAAATGATATAGGGAAGAACGTATTACTTGTGTATTGCTTAGGGGCCCAATTGTGAAGAAGGTTATGCTCATGGGCCCGCATGGGGGTCATTTGTAGAAAGAGATTTTACCGGGGTGTTAAAGTTATAAACTCACTCATCAAATTTAGGACATTTGAATTATAATAAGGGTAATACTTGCTATCCACTCTTCAAATATTCTTTTTATTATAATAAGGGTAATACTTGCATTTCCTTTGGGATGAGCTCCTTCTCCAACTTTCAAATAATGTATCTTCCTTGTAAACTTTTAACAATTAGAACCATTTAGTCTCTTAATCTTCATTCGAAGATTATCCCTTAAAAAAATCATTTGATTAGAAAATGGTTGAGTCATCCAAATGTATATAAAAAAAATAAAAAAAATCAATAATGTAGTTACCAAGTAGGATATTCATAATGAACCGCTAATTTATTTGATACATTTGGATGACTAAACGATATATAAATCGTAAATGGGGACAAGTAAGTTCCTCATGGGTCGGCGGCAACCACCTTGTTATTGCTTTTCCCTCCTTTTTGTCTTCTTTTTCTAGTAGTTCTGCCCCTTGCCCGCTCTTTCGTCGCCAATGATCGTCGGTTTGAAAGGACACGGCATGTTTTCCCCGCGTTCTTCGTCGTTTTGGTTTTTTTCGATCCTAATCCCTGTCCTGGGGCCCTCCTTTTTCAACCCAAACACTCATCCTCTTCCATCATTTTCATTTGATCATCCTTCTCACATACCATTCATTCCAAAACCTTTGCTCAATACTAGGAGTGACTCACCTGTTTTGGCTGTCAGATCTAAACCTTCCCTTCTCTACTCTGCACTCGACTAGCCGGAAAATCGGGACCTTAGCTCCATCCTAGGGTGTTTTGGATGCGGCTTAGCCTAAAGCTAGGGTGTTTTAGATGCCCCTTTAGCCCCATCCTCTTCCCTTTTGTTTTGGTTTTTGGTTCTTCTTGCTGGGGCTTGTGTTGGAGGTTCAAATCTAATGACTCTTCTCCTATGTGGCGGTTTTGGTGGCGAAACTTGGTTGGGGAGATCTCATTGTTGGGTTGGAAATTTTTGTGATGCGATACCTTCATTGAATTCAAAGCGTAGTTGGTTTTCTTCGAGCGACTACCTTTGTGGTCGCTGGTGAGGTGGTTGTGTCGACGGTTGTGTAGAAAAAGGTATGTAGGCTAAAATATATTTGTTATTGATACGTGAATGTGGAAAAATGGAAGAGAATGCTTTTTTTCTCATTATCTTTCTCTACAAGATTACAAGGATATATATACATGATACAAGTGTGTAGGTAGGATAAGGTAGCCGTCCTAGTGTGTAGGTAGGACAAGGTAGGACGGCTGTAGGACGACTTGACGGCTGTAGGACGGCTAGTGTGTAGGTAGGACAAGGTAGGACGGCTGTAGGACGGCTAGTGAATAATATTATATACAATTACACAAGGACTCCAACCATATTCCTTATTTGTCTAACACTCCCCCTCAAGTTGGAGAGTGGATGTCAAGAACTCCCAACTTGCGTAACATACCCGAAAACTTTTCTTTCCCAAGAGGTTTGGTAAACAAGTCTGCCAACTGTTGTGCCGTACCCACATGCTTGGTCTCTATTGTGCCATCTACAATCTTATCTCGTATAAAGTGACAATCCATCTCAATATGACGAGTTCGTTCATGAAAAACAGGATTGGCAGCTATATGTAACGCTGCTTGATTATCACAAAATAAAATGGAAGGACCATCCAAAGGAATGTTCAAATCCTTCAACAAAAAACGAAGCCAAACTATCTCGCAACAAGCACCTGCCATGGCCCTATATTCCGCCTCTGCTGAAGAGAGCGAAACGGTTTTCTATCGTTTCGTCCGCCAAGAAATCAAAGAACCGCCCAAGAATACACAATACCCAGTAGTCGAACGGCGAGTGATAGGGCAACCTGCCCAATCAGAATCACAAAACGCAGTTAACTTGGTCTGGTTGTCAGAACGAAATAATAAACCTTGACCTGGAGTAGCCTTCAAATAACGAACAATACGAAGCGCAGCATCCATATGAGATATCCTTGGCTCGTGCATAAAACGGCTTAGAACATGCACAGATTAGGTGATATCCGACCGAGTGATAGTGAGATATATTAACCGACCTACTAATCGTCGATACTTTTCAGGATCCTTGAGAAGTTCTCCTTTATCAGATAATTTTGTGTCATCCATAAGAAAAGCAATGGGTCGTGCTCCCAAAAAACCATAGTCCTTGAGAATCTCTAATGCATACTTGCGTTGAGAAATATAAATCCCTTGTTTGGAACGAGAAACCTCAATACCCAAAAAATATTTTAAATCACCAAGGTCTTTTATCCGAAAATGATCACGGAGAAAATACTTCAGAGAATTAATGGCACTAGCATCATTGCCTGTAATCACAATATCATCCACATAAATGAGCAAAGCTGTGAAAGAAATACCAGACTTTTTAGTGAACAATGAATAGTCAGCTTTGGATTGTTGAAAACCGGCAGAAATGATGGCACTAGTGAATTTGGCAAACCATTGGCGAGAAGCCTACTTAAGACCATAAAGTGACTTGTGAAGGCGACACACAAGATTCTCCCCCTGTCGCTGAAGACCAGGAGGAGGAGACATATAGATTTCTTCATGTAAGTCACCATGTAAGAAAGCATTATTAACATCAAGTTGATGAAGAGACCAAGACTGACTAGCAGCAAGAGCAAGAAGACAACGCACCGTAATCATCTTAGCAGTAGGAGAAAAAGTGTCATGATTAAGAAAGCATTATTAACATCAAGTTGATGAAGAGACCAAGACTGACTAGCAGCAAGAGCAAGAAGACAACGCACCGTAATCATCTTAGCAGTAGGAGAAAAAGTGTCATGATAATCAATACCTTCAGCCTGAGTGAAGCCTTTAGCAACCAAACGAGCTTTGTAGCGGTCAATAGAGCCGTCGGAATTGTGCTTGAGTTTGTACACCCACTTACAACCAATGGGAATTTTGCCAGGGGGCAAGGAAGTTAAAGTCCAAGTACCATTAGCATGTAAAGCTTGAAGCTCCTCAGTCATAGCACGTTGCCAATTGGGGTCAGTGGTAGCCTCGGCAAAGGAGGAAGGCTCCACAGTCCGACTGACAGAGTTAATGTAAGAAAAATGCCTGGGAGAGTAACGGTGATAAGAGAGAAAATTACAAAGTGGATATCGCGTACCTTGTGTAGAACCGGGTTGCGAAGTCGAAGATGGGTGGGATGGCAGAATCACCTGCGAGCAAACGTAGTCTTTTAAATAGGATGGAGGTTTATGGGCACGGGAAGAGGTGCAGGGAAGGGGAGGATTGGTAGGTAGTGGGGGGGTAGGGATGTCCGTGGGTAAAGGGGCATGGGGAGGAACGGGTAATGGGGCA